CTCACACCGAGGACCTATCCACGTCATCATTTACCCAGAATACTTTGCATGTAAATAAAATAGCCCCGTCCGTGTAATATATTTTTAAACTTTTAGTTTAAAAATGATTAAAAACTAAACAGCCTACAATATTTTTATAGTCCTTATTTTACAGTTAAAATATGTTTATTAAATAAAGTCTAATGTTACAACTAATCAGGGATCCCTTTAAATCTGTAACTGATATAAATTACAGAAATGAGGATCTGATTGCCCAGTGTAACTATATAAGAAGTTAATACCTAAATAGATCAAAAAAAATTATAGCAGTAACCAGTTGAATTAAACTCTTCCAGAAAAGCAAAACAAAAACAAACAAAATAAAAAAATCTGCCATAATCAAATTTTTTTCCAATTTTTACCAACATGACATTTTTGGCACTTTGGTTTTGTTATTGTTCAAAAAATTGTGTGATTAAATGAAATTACAAGCCTACGTCATGTTGCCATGTTCTTTAGGCTGACATGGTCGAATCTTTTGAGTGTCTTTGTAAGCCTGAAGTTGGATTTGGATTTTAGAAAATGAAAATATCCAGATTATTTTTATTATCATTTTACAATACAGTATGTAAAATATTAAAAGTGGTTGTTCCACCTCCCATGATAGTCCAAGAGACATACCATGCTTACCTGCATAAACAAGTATCAGACATTTTGATGGTACCCCATTAAACTACATCCCTTCATATTAAAAAATACATTTCTTACAAAAAATATCGGGGACACAGTCATAATTTAAGATTAATGCTAAAAATCATGGTTTCAGTCAGTATTTCCTAAACTGGCATCAATAATATCTTCAGACACGCCACTAATTAAAATATATAAGATTAGATATACAATATCACCTATTTTCATACTAGTAGCTAACAAATGACGCCTACCCCCTAAATTATATATGTACCGTATTTTTCGGACTATAAGCCGCGACTTTTTTCCTGAACTTTGAACCATGCGGCTTATAGTCCGGTGCGGCTTATACATGGATTTTTTTCTTCAGCCACCAGGGGGCTCTTATGCTCCGCTTGCTTCAACCACTCGCTTCAAAAAAGGAAAGGAAAAGAAAAAAAGGAAAAAAAGCGATCCTTCCAGAGCCGACTGTTGACCAGGAAGCAGCGATTTAAAGATAGTCAATGGCCAAAAACTCATAAAAGGGGATAAAACAGACACTTTTCACAGTGGAATCTGACTGATAAAAACTTTGGAGCTTAATCCAGGACCAGTTTGTGGATAAACGTCGAGTGAAGAGCCGCGGACTTTTTTTCCCCTCATTGCACTCCCCGGGGAAGGAATCCCATGTAGTGACGTATGCTGGAGCGGGAGGGCTTTCCCACCACAGCTTCAGAGCCAGCATTACCCCGGGAGGACAGCGACACAGAAAGCAACACTGAACAGATACCGCTGTGTGACGCAGCTTTTCTCAGCTTGTTTAACTCCGACACTGAAGAGGAGGACTTCGATGGTTTCAGTGCGCCAGAGGACAATGAATGAGACGTTTTGTTGGACCAGAAACTGTGAAAGAAAACTACCAAAATAAGGTCAGTTAAGTGATCCGTATTCCTCCGAACTTTAATTCCTAAAGGTTTGCTTTTTATGTTTTGATGTTGAATTCACTTTTTTGATGGCAAATTTGGGTATACTGTTTTTTTTTGTTGGGGGTAAGGCTTATAGTCCGGTGCGGCTTATATGTTAATGTTCGCGGATTATTTTTTTAAATGGCGGGTGCGGCTTATAATCCGGTGCGGCTTATAGTCCGAAAAATACGGTATTTATTCATGTATAATACGATCATCATTTTTGAGCTTAAAAAGCATAAAAAACCTAATCACCAATAACCCGTGTGATACTAGCCCCTTACTTTATGGATGATTTTTAGGGTTAAATTTCTAGCATTACACATGAATAAATACAGTATATGATATATGCCAAATTTAAAATATCACATATCATTGCCCTGCTTCAATTTATAAATCATACTTTAATGTTAAGAAGTATATATAAAACCATTGTTTTATTAATGTTAATAAAATTTCAGTTAATTGCACTGACCTATATTGTGTTGTAATTTCCTCCTAAATTCAGTGTTAGTGGGAGACACACAAACTACAGGTGCTGGTCATAAAATTAGAATATCATGAAAAAGTAGATTTATTTCAGTAATTCCATTTAAAAAGTGAAACTTGTATATTATATTCATACATTACATACAAACTCATATATTTTAAATGTTTATTTC